TGAAACTGTACTTCCGATTGGATTTGAAACTCTCATTGCTGTTTATCAATAAAACTTTGAAAAAAAATTAATACTCTTGTTTTATAAGGTACATAAAAGTTTCACTTCCCCAAACAGAATCCATATCATTTTACATATACAGTAAGCCCTCCTCTTCATTTGCCAGTTCAACATCAACCAACAAGATCGAATGTATCTGTAGTGAACATATGCAGAATTTTATTCTGATCCTTGTTCCTTAAATACAATGTAGCAAACACTTACATAGCATTTATAGCATGTGTGATATAAATAATCTAGAGCTAACTTAAGTGTATAAGAGGAATGTATGCAGTATTTAAAACCTATAGGAATATATGGAAGGTTATATGCAAACGCTACACCATTTTATGTAGGTGATTTGAGCATTTTCAAATTTTAATAGGACAGTGGTATCAGAACTGGTTACTGGGTCGGGGAGATAGCTCAGTAGAATAAGTGCTTGCCTGGCAAGTGCAGGGTATTGAGTTCAATCCCCAGTACCACAGAAAAAAAAGAAAAAAAAGAAAGAAAGAAAGAAAGAAAGAAAGAAAGAAAGAAAGAAAGAAAGAAAGAAAGAAAGAAGAGAAAAAAAAGAATTGGTTACTGGTAAATACTTAGGAATGATAGTAGATGTGACTATTTATGGAAATTAACTAGGAGAACACTTCAGTTAAATGACAAACATAATTAGCCATGATACAATTAAATTTAATACTTGCTTCAAAAGGAGGATTTGGAAATTATTTTCATTCTAACTGAATATAGTTAAATATAATTTTCTTGCTAACTCAAATTCAAAAAGAAAATAAAAAGAGAAGTTACAGAAAAAGTAAGGTTAAATACTTTTAAAAAGGGCTGGTGAGATGGCTCAGTGGTCTAAAGCATCTACTTAGAACAAGCTTAGAAAAGCACAAGGGACCGCGGTTCAATCCCCCAGCACCACATGCCAGCCAGCCCTGCCCCCTGGTGGGCTGAGCTGGCCACACACACAAATAAATAA